TTGTTGTTTGGCGGGTCCGGGCTGGGGATTCGAACCTGCCACCTTAGGTGTACGTGGCTGGCGCCTTAGCCGGTTGAGCTATAGGCGCCTGGCCAATGTGAAGAATCTTCCTTGGCAGTGATTTAGAATGACATTCATCCATTCATGCAGCAGGTATTAGATGTCTGTAGACTGTCTCACTGAGAATGAAACATTTTGGAGAATTAGGAGCTCACACTATGGCATAGGTTTCATAAGTATAGTAATTTATAATTTGGGGTTATTTTTTCCTTGACAAAATTATAGCAGCTACAACCATGTACACCAGATAGTAGAAATTGTTTGATTTTATATTAGTTTTGGGGGGTTTTAATTTGCTTTGGCAACATATGCCATTTAGTGTTTGGGTATTTGTGAGGGTGTATTATCCTCTTGTCAGAAGCTGTGCTTTCTTTCCTGGATTTTAATACTGAATGACCTCATGAAGGTACTAGTCTCTAAACCTTTTAAATTGAAGTTATTGGACTAAATGCCATTTCAGGGAATTGTTCCCAGATTCTAAGCCCAAACTTAAACTTTCAGTTATCCGTAAAAGAAAAAAATTAAAAAACTAGTAAGTTATCAACTCAAAAAAAAATTTTTTTTGAGACAGAATCTTACTTTGGTCACCATAGGTACAGTGCCATGGCATCACAGCTCACAGGAACCTCAAACTCTTGGGCTCAAGTGATTCTCTTGCCTCAGCCTCCCAAGAAGCTGGAATTACAGGCACCTGCCACAACACCTGGCTATTTTTAGAGACAAGGTCTTGCTCTTGCTCAAACTAGTCTCGAACTCCTGAGCTCAAGGGATCAACCTGCCTTGGCCTCCCTCAAATTTAATTTTTATTATAAGATAATCCAACTTTTATGGTATTGAAGTTTACTTTTGTGAAATGTTGATAGTAATATTAGTTGCTTTAAATATCTTTTCTTGGCAGAAGAAAAAGTTGGTGGCTCTGACCAGGAGTGGTGGCTCAGGCCTGTAATCTTTGCACTTTGGGAGGCTAAGGCTGGAGGATCACTTGAGCTCAGGAGTTCCAGACCAGCCTGAGCAAAAGCAAGACCCCATTTCTACTGAAAATAGAAAAATTAGCTGTGCATTGTGGCCAGCACCTGTAGTCCCAGTTACTTGGGAGACTGAGGCAGGAGGATTGCTTAAACCCAGGAGTTGGAGGTTGCTGTGAGCTAGATTGATGAGATGGCACTCTAGCGTGGGCAACAAAGTGAGAATCTGCCAAAAAAAGAAAAAAAAAAAAAGTTGGCAGCTCTATATTGCCCCTAGGTTTTTTGTTTTTAAATTGTTGTTTTAACTGCCCTTTGAATCTAGAATTCTGGGAACTACTAAGCCAAGATCCTATCTAATGTTCCAAGACCTAATTATTTTATTACAGTTTTAAAATAACACAGCTTTATTTATTTTGATATTTAGTTTGTATATGTCGAATTTTTCGTAAATTATTAGCACAATGTGTTAAGGCTTCATGAAAAGTTATTAATTAAAAAAAAACACAGTTTTTACTTCTACTTGATTTGCCCTTGATTTACCATCATGGATGCAAACTGCAGATCCATCCTAATCTCTTCCCAATTAATTACTTTAAATGATTGAATAACTATAGAACACGGAGATTTGCAAAGGATGATTAACTAAGTGCCTACCTTTTCTTAGAAAATTCCCTATTTTTTATGAACTTAAACAAATTGTTTCATAAACAAAGGAATTACATATATTCACTGAAGTTGCCAAAAGTCATCCTAAGAGGGATTTTCTAATCAGTAATTCTGAAGAAACATAATTAAGATTATAAAATTAGAGGCGTTGGTATGATGTTATATCTGTGGACAACAAAGAAGGCAGTTCAGTTTCAGGCATGGAACAGAAGATCGCCAGGATCAGAACACTGTCAGCTAGATGGGGTGTAAACTAGATGTTCTTCACTTCACCTTTACCTCCAGTTCTTCCAGCCCATCCTGCACAGATAAACCAGAAGTCAGCATCCGTCAAGACTTCATTCTTCAAGTGTAAGATTGTTTTCATGTGTAAGTATACAGAGTTGTATGGATGCCCAGCTTTGTTTGTCATTTAAAATAATTTTGAGCATCACCTGTCTGCCAACATGCTCATTACTGGTGCAGGCAGGGGAGGCTAAATTTTTCTGCTGGTATTACTGCCTACCGGCATTTTCATAGGCATTGGTTCCTATAACAACCTTCGATGTACACATGAGACATGATGTCTTTTATGGCTGTCATCTGTTAAACTTAGCAAAACCTGTTAAATTTACTTCAAAATCTCCCCAAATGAAAGAATTCCACTTATACAATCCGTCTCTGCA